TGCATCCTTATCAGCAATGGGTTTCACATTTTGTTACTACTGGTTTGCCCCCCCCCCCCCCGCGCCCCCGCTTGCTTCCCCTTCTGCACATGCGCCTGGGCTCAGAAATGTGCCTAAATAGGAAAGCATAGAGCCGGGGTGAATGGGCGGGCCCACCTGCGATTTCCGTTACCGGTTCAGGTGAACTAGTCCGAACCAGCTGAATACCACCTCTGATCCCTACATAATGTGCCTTTAAAAAAAAAAATTTTTTTTTTATTAAATAGTTTTACAGTAATAAAAGATACTATTACAAAACAAAACACTTTACCTTCCCGTGTGGACTTTAGGTCACGTGGACTTTACTGTAGAGGTGGAACGTTCCTTACGAGTGTTGGATGGGGCAGTGGCTGTTTTTGATGCTTCAGCTGGTGTGGAGGTAAAATGACTCTATGGTGGCTTTGCTTCATGTCTTGGGGATGCTTAAGGATGAGAACTTAAGACTTACTCCCATTATCAAATGGCTCCCTTTGCTTGCATCTCTGCAAGAAATATATTGGAGGGGAAAATGTTGTGGCCGAAATCTGGTTTACTTAAAACAACCAAATCACTTTGAAGATATAACATAAAGTTATTAAGCATGTAAACAATAAACAGTGTATACTGAACTTCTAGCAAAGCATTGGCATATAGCTTAGCAGCTCTGAGCAAAAATAGAGCTATAGCTTATTTACCTTTGGTCTATCACGTTTTAAGAGAAGACAAAAGAAAAGGTAAACACAAAGTAAACTACAGCATAATGAATTGTTTTTGATGACAGACTTATTTATCCCTTCCAAGGTCAACATGGCAGCTATACTATCTCTCAACGTATAGTCAGTGAATATAAACAATTTGGATCTTTGGTTCCTACCTGATTCCTCCCCGTCATCCTAAATATCATACGCACAAATATGGGGAGTAACATCCAAATTGTTGGATACATGGTGTGGGCAGAGTCTGTGTCCAAAAATTCACATTAAATAACAAAAAGGAAATACAGTTCAAGGAAGAAGTGCAACATGTAATTGGCAGAAATGGTGAAATTGACAGCTTTGATTAAAGAAAAGACTTTGACCAATTTTCTGCTTGGGAGCTACTTTTTGAGAGAAACTGAAAGAAATGAAATCTTGATTTTGGAACTTTATGATTAGATTTATATGTGATTGTAGTACTACTGTAGACCAGTGATGGCGAACCTTTTCGGCACCAAATGCCCAAACCGGAATATACGTACATGTGCATACGTGTGCGAGCGCTGGAGCACCGGAAACCCGAAGATCAGTTGACTGGTGCGCGCATGTCTGTTTTTTGACTGTTTTGGGGGGCATTTTCAGGCCATTTTTCGGCCTGAAAACAGCCTGAAAAATGTCCTGAAGGCCTAAAAAAGCCCCCAAAAGCAGCTTATTTTTTAAACCTGTAGAGCAACTGGTGATGGTACAAGTTCCCACAGAGAGGGCTCTGCGTGCCACCTCTGGCATGCATGCCATAGGTTGGCCATCACGGCTGTAGACTATTGTTAAGTTTAAACTAATAGATGTATTTTTATATCTACTGAAGAAAGTGAGACCATTCTGTTTTTCTTTTCTTTTGCTCTTTCTTTTTTCCCCATTTAATATTTTTATTGAGTTGTAAAATAAAGTAAGATACAAAATACAAAAGGAAATAAGAAAACAGTGGGGAGGAAGTGGGGAAGAGAAGTGAGGAAGGATAAGAAAAGAAGAAAAAGAAACGATTCTCTCTGTTGCAGTAAAATAAAGCATCGTCACAAGTTCTTGTTTTTTCATAATAATACAAGCAAGCCATTGCTATAAAGATCTATCAATCTAATCGGTAAAACCCAAAAATCAAAGTTTCATTCTTTTCCACTTCAAGCCCAAAGTTCAGAAGAGGTCTCCAAGTGGAAACAAAAGTACTTATCTTCCTTTGCTCTTTCTTATTGCAGCTGGATCTTGCTTTCAGTTTGACTTTTCCTTCTTTTCAATTCCTTTTTTTTTTGCTTGTTTACTTTTTATTCATGTTTTGAAATTTAATCAAAAATATATTAAAAAACAAGGAAGAAGCACAGCCTGGCCAGACCTCTGGAATTTCAAGTATCCTAAGTAATTCCCTTTCTACCGAAAGATTCAGCTTTCCCAGGGACAAACTCAAGTTACTTTTAACTTTTTCTCTCCAGGTCAAAACAGACGTTCAGCCTGGGTTTTTCTTTTTTCTGATTTTTTGTGGGGGAGGTGATGCACATGTACAAAAGCACAAAGACCATGTAGCTGCAGAGGGTTAGGTGAAACAACGTACACATCACCTGCTACCCTCAACAAGTACTTACAAAACTTTCCCCTGTACAGAACGGTATTTTTTAGGAACTGTTATGACACATAATGAGCATGACCAAGCAGTTCCAGTTTCTGCAGACCATTGTGCTGTAAGCCTCACAAAATGGGCTGTTTGTACTCAGATCTAAGAGGGCATTGTCTATGTGACAGCAGAAGAAACATTTTCCTGGTTTTAATCACAGCCTAATAATAGCTATCATTTTGGTAGCTCGTTTGGGAATTTGTGAGCAGAATATCACCTATCTGTATCTTTCTGCAGCATTTGGAAACTATACATTTCTGAATGTTGTATATAGATAAGCAGTGCTATTGACAAGACATGGTTTTTTTTTAAAAAAAAAAGTGATTAGAAATTCCTAAGCTTTAGTTTAGTAATACCAATGATGTAATTTGTTATAATTTATCTTTGCTGACTTAACTTCTAATATGATAGAAAATATTCCTTCTTTCTATCTCATTTATACTTAGGTTTTGTATTCCCTGTTCCCTTTAAAAAAAATCTTTTGCAGCCTTTTCTCAAAGCTGGGATTCTTTAACTTTGCAGTTATTCATTTTTAATTCTTTGCATCTACTTGTCTACTGCAGTCTATATTTCCTACCTTCCTTATGTTAGCACTAGGTTTTCTATTAAATTCATCTTATTGCAAATTTCATGGGTAACAACGGGTTTTTTCCCCCCTTTGTGTATCATGGAAATAAATATTTACATGTTTTAAGGGACAGAAGACTGCCACTGTACAGAAATGATTAATGCTGTACATTTTTGCTTAGGCACAGTCTCTGACGGTCTGGAGGCAAGCAGACAAACACCATATACCCAGAATTTGCTTTTTAAACAAGATGGACAAACATGGAGCAAGGTACCAAAATAACTATNGGTTGTAGGAACTGAGTATGTCTAGTTTAATGAAAAGAAGGACTAGGGGAGACATGATAGCAGTGTTCCAATATCTCAGGGGTTGCCGCAAAGAAGAGGGAGTCAAATTATTCTCCAAGCACCTGAGGGTAGAACAAGAAGCAATGGGTGGAAACTAATGAAGGAGAGAAGTAACCTAGGCTTAAGGAGAAATTTCCTGACAGTTAGAACAATTAATCAGTGGAACAGCTTGCCTCCAGAGCTTGTGAATGCTCCAACACTGGAAGTTTTTAAGAAGATGTTGGAATTTGTACTATGAATATTTTTGCTAAATAGCTAAGTGGATTATCAGGTCTAATTGCTGAAATTTTTGTGATAAAATGAATTTAGACATTCTTTCCCACATTCCAGATTAAATAGCATTTTTAGAATAGATAGTGTTGTTTATTTTTTTTTTGAAATGGAAAAAGAGGATCTTCCTCCAATAGCAGAATATCTCTGATTGGAGCCTGCATGTACTGTAAACATGATGCTTTCTATTTATTAAGATAACTACAAATGTAAATGTCAACAACTTTTCTATTTCACAGGTGAAGTAAAATCTTTACGTTCTGTTTTAACTCCACCAATATCTAAGTGAGTAATAAGGGTTTTTTATATAGTATGTAAAATGTAGCAAGACTACCTTGGTTATGACTGGAAAACTCATTTGGCAATGAATGTTTAAGTTTCTTTGTATATTGTGTGGAATATTGTAATAAATTTAATAAAATTATAACGATGCTAAATGAAAATGTTTTTGTCTTTTTATTCAGGATTCGCAACATAGGTATAATGGCCCACATAGATGCAGGAAAAACAACAACTACAGAGAGAATGCTCTATTATTCTGGTTACATAAGATCCCTTGGAGGTTAGTGGTGTGAGAGATAAGAAAAAAATTAAGTATAATAATTATTTTTCAAAGCGGTTAAAATCTATTTTTTTTTCTGCATTTAAACTTTCTGCTTAAGCATTTTCAACAAAATCCTACATCACAGAAAAACTAGATATAATTGCACTTAACTTATTGCCATCTTTGCTATCCCTTTCAAGGGTTTAGCTGGCCAGCTCCCCCTTCCTTAGACTAAACTTTTCTTTAAAGAGGGGAGGCAGCCATCAACACCAAGACAAAGTGTTATCTCTGTGAACTTGCAAAGCTCCCTTTATAGGCTTTGAAATCTATGAGACAGAGAAAGCTGTAATGCAAAATTGTTTCTTGGAGATTTGCTAAGATCAGAATCTGACCTGAGCAAATAGTGTTATAAATTAGCATGTGAACTCATTTTTGAAAATGAAATTTTAATTTGGCTTTCTGTCTCCTTTCCCTCTCTTCTTCCCCACAGAGATTCGGACCCTCACCTCTCTCCAGGCCTTCCGAAAAGCCGTTAAAACCTGGCTATGTCGGCAGGCCTGGGGTTGATGAGTTCCCTTCCCC